CGAAAAGTTTACTTACTTAACCTGTAGTTGAGCATTGCATCATTGTATATACATGCATGTTTGTAATACAGCATTTGTTTACACAAAATATGAACATGTGCTGCATGGAATGAATGTGTCGCTTTAACTTACTTCTTCAACTGATTATGGCTGATAAACTTGCAAGTTATCCTTGAATGAAAATAGACTAGTTGACTAAGTTGCATAATAATAGTCTATAATTTGCATTTGCAGTTGGTAAAAATACAAGTAATTAACATATCAATAACTTCTATTGTTTCTAGAAAATTCAAGCATGTAATTTCATTGGCTATACACTATAAATTGCCATGCCTGCCTCAAATGTGAAAACTGTGGAAATAGACACAATTTTGTATTTTAATTAATCAACTGCTCAGTGCTAGTGACAACAGATTTACAAATGTCCTTAATTAAATTTTTTTTGTGTCATATGTACACATCATAGTGGTAGTATTATTAAGTCATGTGACCTATTTTTATTTATTTGGAATATATTACTAATACTAGAATTACATACACAGATTGTAAAAGAATCAAACGTATATGCCACATGATTGTCACAACTCGGTCGACGTGTGTTCTCGCATTGGAGTAAGATGCACAAAGCCGGGCGTACCCGACCTGTGACCTCCATTCGGTCAACAGACGACCGGCGCACAGACGTCCCAGACATAGCACTTGCATTAAAAATTCGTATGAATTAAATATCGTTTCCCGATTTTAACGGTCCACAAAATTCAACTAACGGTTAATCTTGCATAAGAACATTCCACAATCTTACCTTTTTTTAAAACATGTCCAGCGAAAATATCATCACTCGGACTTCACATGCCGTCGGCCATCTTGAAAAATACGCCTCTCGATTCCACTAAGTCGATAAAAACAAGCAAATATTCCAGGCACACAATGTCGCCAGATTTAAAAATGTTACCAGAACGTTGAAAAATAAATTCCGGATTCTTGCAATCTCACTTAATAATAATTATCAACGATAATTAAGAAATATATTAAAAATATCGGCAGAGCTGTCGGTCCTGCCCACGAAGGAGTGTATATTATAGAGGGAATCCCTTGAACAATTCATTAAACGAGCTCTGATTGGTCCATACTTAGAAAAGCAAATATCCCAGAAATCCTTTTTTATTTAAATTCCTTTGACAGAATCACTGTTATTGACTTCATATTTAATAAAACTAATGAGAAAAAGGCTTTGCAAGTAATTAACTTTAAAACAGACAGAAACAGATTCTTCATAAACAGTTAATTGAGATATTTAATGACCAATCAGAAATCAGTTTACGTTCCATGTAGCCGCCGGAAATCACCTTATTTTCCATAATGCATGATGGGATAGGACACACCAGGAAGTTGAGGGGGGAGGTACTATTGCGTGTTTTCATTCATTCATTTAAATCCAAGATGCGGACATTATACATAAAAAAATCTACAGAAACGGAAGAACCAATATGTTTTCTTGAACAAAATGTGAGTATCATTGTTTTAGTCCGTAAAATATGACTTCAAGTGAAAAACAGGAATGGTAATCCTGAAAAGCCGTGTTAAATTTGGATCTGAGCTGAAGAAAAGTAGGGCATAGATGACAACTGAGAAAAGGAACAGCCCCCCTCCCGATATTATTGTCCCCTTTCAGTATATGAATTTTAAGTGTTCATAGAAGGGATTGACTATGGTCTTACTAAAATAAAGAGTGCGCTTTGAAAAACAATTCATTACATAAAATGAAATTGTAAACAAACATAATTACACCAGATTTAGTGAAGGCGAGATTTGTTTATGGACATTTATAAATATTTATAAAACATTCATCCAGAAAGATCCTCAGGCTTCATTCAAATTTAAAGATTCATTGGCTGTAGAAACCATTTGGTAACGCCCGATTGAATTACCCACGAATTTTTGCAGGGTTTCTTCAATTATTGGCCCATTTACTGCCACGAAAACAAAAGATAGATCCCATCAAATTTGTTTAAAGCGAGAGGGTCGTCGCCTGTGCACACGCGAGAATTGAGTCTCAAGCGACGATAACAACACATGCTAAAAATGCATGGGTAGCACTTGTTTGTAAACAATGACACGCTATGGTCATCTGACGCATACGCAGGAGACGACTCTCTCGCTTTAACAGTTAAAATTACAGTGATTCATTTCCTGAAAAAAATTGAAAGAAAGCAAGTAAAAGTAGTACCATTATCTTTTTACATAAAACATTAAATTGCAAGAGTGAGCCAGTGTCAAATGAGAGGTTAAGATTATTATCCAACCACAGTGTAGTATATGAGCAGTACTGGTACACCTTCTCGAAAGATTGTTTATTGTCTAAGTTCTTTTCAATCGTCATTTAGAATTTATAAACATTTATTAATATTTTATTCACACCTTCATAAAACTTGGTAAAATGAAC